CCCGTGGCACCAAAAATAAGAGCCAAAGACTGAAGCCTCCTGACATGGAGAAAAGCATCCCTCAGCCACAGGAGCTGAAAGTCATAGCATGTAAAACGGGGCCAGGGACAGAAAAGGGGATTTGGCATTTGTGATATAATTATGCTCTGCAGTTTCATAGCTAAAAGGATTTTAATTTTACGGAGGGTGGGAAGAATCCTGTATGTAAAAGGTCGGCTCTCTCGCAACATGACTCAGTCAAAGGCCACCTATTGCAAAGTGTGAGTAGGTAGTATCACGACAAAGCAAGGCACTCCCAACGAGGGCTGCCATGGGCATTGTCCTTCTCCAGGAGTAACCCTCCCCACTCGCTTCTGAGCTGGACCCCACCTTTTCATTTTCCTGATAAGCCACTAGTGTGCCTTGATGCTCTTCATAGGGAATTTTTTTCCACTCTGAGATCCCCATCTGTCTGCCAGTTTCTTGCTTTGTTCCAACGAAAGCAATGAGTGAGAAGGAAAAGAGAGGTAAGTGGGAAACAAGGCCTTTCAGGCTGCCCTGTTGAAATCTCAGCTGTGTTTTCATTTTAAGGGTTTTTGGGAAGTTGTTGGATTTTAAATCTCACACCCAGAGTAGAACAACAGTCAAATCCAGAGGTTTCCATTTCACAGTAATGCACTTTTGATTGAATGACAAAACCAGTACACTTAGCCTGGGCACCTGGGGAGGTACACACTATTTTTGTGAGAGAAGCCAGCAGATACAAGAGCTGTTTCTTGTAAGATAGGCTGGAATGGGTGCTCGTGTGTCTGAGAGGCCAGGTTGCAGGGACTCCAAGGTCCCAGCTAACATCAAGGTTACAGAAACAAAAGCTACAGCTGGATCCTTGCTGTTAAAAATAGTTGACCTGCTTCCTTTGAGAAGCATTCATAAGCCAAAACCAGCACCCGAGAGCCCCTGATTCTGAAGTGCCCTCATCAGCAGTGTTCCCTTACCTGGTGTGTTAAAAATAATTACTAGATTTCTTATATGAACTTTTTTGTGAAGAATGTGCTTCAAAGCTTGGGACACAGTAACACCTCTGGGGCTTATCAAATGACAAGTTGACAGACTATCAGATGATGAATTCATTTGGTGTGCAGTTGCCTATTTGTCTGACTTGGATTTCAATTTCTCTAAGTACCCAGATGCTGTTGTGCCAAGGAACCTGTTTGTTCAAACACATTGAATTCTCATCCCTGCCACTTTTCACAAAACAGGCTAGCTGGGAAGAAGGGTGCATTTCACAGAGGTAGGAATTACAGAAAAAAGACTGCCAGCCTCTCCGTGGGAGGCCCTTCAACCCCATCTCAGCCACAAAAGAGGACAAAAAGCAAGTTTGTTTTAATATTCCTGTGCCAGAAGAAATATTGAGGTTGCTCAAACCCCAATGCTGCTCAGAATTAAGACACTGTTTTTGTAGGTGAGGCGGTGGGAGAATAAAAAGAAAAGAAAGTATTCTATTGGAATCAAGTGCTCAGATTGTTATTATTGTAACAAAGACACCTTTGTAAAAAAGACATACCTAGCTAAACTTTAGTTTCTCATCTACTCAAACTGCATATCTAAAGATCCCTAGATACATATGATGTTCAATTGAACTTTTATTAGGTTCAGTACATGAACCTAATAATACATGAATACTTTTATTCATGTATTATCACATAATACCATCACGGTGAGAAATAATGTGAAGAATCTAGTGATCAACTAGATTTTTCCTGTTAAAAAATTAGAAGAGCCACATCTGTTTGAACACTGAGATAAGAGGCTTCATATTAGCATCTTTGCCGTGTTGTCCTCTGGAACTGTGCAATGGGGGCAGTAGTTTCACTTCCCTGCTGACCTGGACACCTCTGTAGAGCATCGCCCTCATGATAGCTTGAACCACGGCTCTGCTGGGCAACCAAGGAGACAGCCCCTTGTTCCATTGCCTTTATGATGATCTGATGTAGCAGTCACCTGAAATGAGAAAATGGACCAATCATCAGGCAATCTTCAGTGACTCAGTGTGCTGTACCCTCCATTATATGCAAAGATGAGAATTCTGAAAAAAAATGCTCTCTGGATGGTACACTTTTCAGCATCTCAGGGTAGTATTGTAGCTGCTGTAAAAAAGCCATAAAATGACTTATTACTCATCCACGGTACTAATGTGAACTCAGCCACCATATCAGGCTTTAAAAATACATTCACCTGCCTCAGACACAAACCCATGATTAAGAAACCTATGTTAGGAATTAGGAATTACATTACGGGTAACTTGGAGGCTAAATAGGAACTAAGATGCCATTGCTTATTATCAGGTGAATCATTTTTTGAAGATAGAATGCATTTGAAATGATTATCTACTAGTGATAAGGTCTACAAAATAGGGCAAAGAGAAAAAAACAGACCAAACTCATGAACCAGAGTGTAGAGCAGATAATGATGTGGAGGATTTCGAGTTGCCATGGAGATGTTCTCTGGCTCATTGGCTGTGATGTTGTAACCCACCAGAGTCACCACTCTCTTCTAAGCTCAAAATGAATTCAGTGCTTTCTCAGGGGGATATGTTTACTTTTGACCTTGTGACTAACACCGCAGGGTGGGTGAGATTAGAGAGGACCCCAGCATGAAGTTGCACCAGCTATAATGTGGCACACATACAATGACTGTAGCCCAGTAGAGCTCAAAAGGAGATTGAATGCCCAGAAGTGTAGTATAAACCAGAAGTGGTGTCTGAGATCATGAAAGACAAAGATGAGCATGGACCAGAGTTGCCAAGAAGGCCTCATGGTGGTAGCACTGGGGCAGGGTGGTCAGGGGAGGGAAGGCGAGTCACACTGGATTCATAAAAGGCACTCAGTGAATGACCGAAGCAGAAATGGTTGGTGTTGGGGAAGAGGAGAAGCAAAACAAGGTTGCTTTAATACTTCTGTTCCAGTAGAAATATTGGAGTAGCTCACACCCTGCTGTGGCATGTGTAGAGAGGCATGAAGCATATGGGAACTCTGTCTCAATAGGAGTGACATGCTAACAAGAGAGTAAGGAAACCTGACTGTTGGTGAACAGGGTTATTGAATAAGTGTTATGGTTAAGCGGTCAGTTTATAGGAGGCCTGAACTGACATTTGATCTCGTAGGCCCTGGAGGTTGATTTTAGGTCTGTGAGTAGGTAGGCAATGTAATGAAAACCATATTTTACCAACAATTGTCAAAGGTTAAAGGTCTGGGTTTATTGAAAGAAAGTGAAAGTAGAGGCCAAGAGATGTGTTGAAAGTCTAGATGTGGGTGGTGCATGTGGTCACTAAGAAAAGAATATTTATAAAGAAGCATTCACAATTCATAGCATTTAATAACAGGAGCTGGAGGGACTGGATGGTGATACCTGAACTCTTCTGAATAAATAGGCTCTGGGATCCTGTTTGAAGCTCAGAAATCAGATCTGGGTTTGGGCTAGAGGTCTGTTCCCACAATGCTAATAATATTTCATGAAGATGAGATAGAAACCATGTTCCTGTTCTTGCTTTCATGGATAATTTTTTTATTGAAGTAACATTGGTTCACAACACTGTATATGATTCAGAGATACAGGATCACATCTCCCCAGATGTATGTTACCACACTACACCCACCACCAAGGTACCCACAGCCTCAATCCGCAGTCAGACTTCCAGTGCTTGCTGTTGGTTTGCTGTTTGACCCTTTGTTGCCACATTCCACATGTAAGTGAAATCAGCTGATATTTGTCTTTCTCCTTCTCACTTATTTTGCAGTGATTTTTGACCCAAAACTCATTATTTTCCATGACCTTGGTTTGTTTGATTGATTGATTAAGATCATTAGAATGAGAATAATAGTTGTGGAGTGCAATGTCATTGTCACGGTACACATGGTTTTTCTAAGCACTTTGACCTTTTTGGGTAAAAGTATGCCCTGACTACCTAAAATTTTAATAAGGAAAAAAAGATCCATTGAAATCTGCAAGAAAGACATTTATTAACCAGGGACTGTTTAGCCTATTGTTCATGGTTACATGAACAATAGGCTAAACAGTCCCTGGTTAATATCACTATTTACATCTCATCTCCCATTCAAGGAATCCCAATTTAGAGTGGCTATTCAATGCATTGGTAGAATTTAATGGTAACATAAAGACCCATAATACCAAAAAGAAAAAAAGAAGAAGAAAAGAAAGGCTTATGCTGATGGTGCCTAAAGTTTGTCGATTTTTAAAAATCTATCAGATGAAGCATTTAAAGGGAAGATTAGTGTAACTTGGATCAGTCTATGGATGAATTACCCTCCTCTCCCACAGGGTCTGTGTTGACCAGGGTTATTGCTTTAATAATGCACTTGTCTGCTGTTAATGTTTACCAGCTAGCTAATCAGAACTCTGGAGAATACATGGCACATTTGCATTGTTACAAGGTAGACATCATTTTACAATTAACTTCATTACAACTGGAATGTAATCTTACAGTATTACCTCTTTCCATTTTTCACTGTAAGCTTTAAAATAATTATATCTATATACATATACTCTGGGAACCAGTTATGCATATAAATGTCAACTATTTTTACAAGGATATATAAATATATTCACCTGTATCTGACTCTACAATTGGTATGTTGTGTATTTACGATCTTCACATCAAAATGGGATTGTTTTATGTAAACATCATGTGAAATAAGATCTTTCACTTGTTTTCTTAACCATGCAATAAAAAATCTGATTCACAAATCTGGCACTGGGGAACCATGTTTAAATCACTGTAAATGTAGACTATCTGCCTATAATGAGTGTGTTTTAAGTAGCTAGCTTAAAAGAAATATAATTGTTGTATTTTACATATAGACAGTAATTTAGAAATGAAAAAAATACTTGATTGCATGTTAAATAGAATTTTTAAATTATGCTCATGGTTTGAGCAAAGGAAGTATTTGCAAAAGATCTCACACTTACACAATAATGACATTTTTAATATCATTCTCTTGTAGGCCACGCAGTGCAGATTATTTTATGCAAGAAGCTAAACGGATGAAGCATAAAGCAGATGCAATGGTAAGACCCTTTTCTTCCCAGATATGTTCTTCCAAATTATGTTTGTACTGCAGCTTCATCATTGGGCAGTATAGCTAGGGTAATTATAAAATCTATTACAAGGATGGCTGGGTCTGTTAAATGGAGAAATGTTTATATAATCAAGTGCTCATAGCCCAATAAATTATGACTTCAACCAATAATGGCTGACTGGGAGAAAGCCTTGGATAAATGACTATTTCAGTGTAGTCCTAAGGTTTGAATAGTAACTAGAGGCAATCGAGTCAGTGGGTGGTAGTATTTTCTTCCTTTAAAAAAAAAATCAAGGTTTGCATTTTTCTGTCTTGTTAGCTGGGCAACCCTTGGCTTGATTCCAGGGTCAAATTCCTATTTAAAAAGATTTGTGTTCTTTATGTTGTATCTGCAAAAATGATTCTTCTAAGACTATACAACACAAAAACTATTAGGTTGCACATAAGACCCTAACATCACCAGGACTTGGGGTTTTGTTGTTGCTGTTTTTTTTTTTTTAACTTTATTATTATTTTTTTAAGATTTATTTATTTATATACACACACAACTGGCATACAGGCCAGTGGTGCAGGGATGGCGAGAAGATTCACCAGAGACAGAGTGGGGTGACTGATGATATATATTGCTGAGGGGAGCAGTGGGCGGGCCAGGAGAGGTCTGCCTCATCATGTGGCTCACCTCCTGGGTGGGGATTAAATTCATGCTGTGAGTTAACCTGCTGCACCACCAGGGAGGGCCGATTTGGGGTTTTTTAAGAGTAGCTTTTTGTTTTTTTCAACTTGGATAATCTTCTATTGTGGAAAGCTTCCAACTCTCAAGCAAATAATAGAATGTTGCATCGGGCAACACCACACTGATAAAGAGACAGGAGTCAGGAGTCGTGTAGCAGGCTACATAATGCAGGATGCTGCTCAAGAGCAAGATCCTGGCCTTTTTACTGGTAAACTTGTCACACAGTATTAATCATATGAAGAAGTAGAAAAAGAGGGAGAAGTGGAAGAAGGAAAGGGAGGGTGGAACTGTACTTCTTATCTGCTTATAGCTTGGTATCCAAGCCCTGACTCCCCAGTCAGGATTTCAATCTTATCAATAAGGCATTCCATTGATCAGCTTCTGGGGTCCTTTGTTATACATCAGTCAAGCCCCCACCCCACCCCACCCCACCATCACCACCACCACCATGGGCATTCTGGTCAGACTAAATTTATGCATCTTCAGACCTCTCTGGCTTCCCCGGTCATACCTCTTGATGCATACCCTTCCCAGAGTAATCCGGCTTTATGCTCTTAATTGATTTGAAAGTCACCTCGTAGGGTTGGGCTCCTGTGACCAGGAAATTCTGACCTGTCTTAAGGAATACAGAACTGTAGGTAGCAAAATGGAGGCTGAATAGGCTATTTAGGATTAGCAGGCACACAATAGAAAATTTTGTTTTTTCTAAAAGAGATCATATTGTTGTTCTATCTTAATGTCTCTTCCAAAGGGACTCCCTCCTCACTAGACATTCTAGTTCTGTTTCCCCTGGCATTTCTGACTGACATCAGAATGCTAGAGATGAACAAGGTATTTCAAATGACCTTGAGAGTATTACTCTAGAATTGAAGATGTTTTAGCCAAAGCCATACCCCTCTCCAGTCACTACTGATGTCACCCACCAAGCATTTATTTGATGAAGATCACTGCCTAGATACACTAAGACAAAGGGGAAACACAGCTTCTTTCCGAGTATCAGAAATGTGAGCTACAGATCTTAACCCGCACACATATCTTATCCCACCGAGTAGTGGAGAGTCCTGCTTACCAAAATAGCTGATGTGTGTTCACTATTAGAAAAAGGCTTCAAATGTTAAAGCAGAATGAAATTTTCTCCTGAATCACTCAAAGCCTACCAGAATTATTCATCTTGCCCAACCCATCCTTTCCTCTGGGCCTTCAGCTACAGCCAGACTGGTCCTCTTTCTCCCTTTCTTCACACTTCACTCAGGTTAGCCCGTAGGCCTTTGCATATACAGAGCATCACACTGACCACTCACAGACACTCACACATGCACACTCTCTCCTGCACACTCACACCATCACTGGATTCACTGGATCCAGCCAGTTCATACCATTCCTTCCCAGTATCAAGTTCCATCCACTGAGAAACTCCTCTGCCTCTCTATAGCTGTGCTCTCATCCTCCATCTCATTTGCATTGCATTGAACTCATTGTTTTGCATGTTGTTAATTACTCACAGACTGCCTTGCACCTTGAACTACCTTGTAGATATACATTTTCTCTTGTCAAAAATATTATGTGTTCCTGGAAGGAGTTCTGTATATCCAGTGCGTATTACATTTTGGATGCTTTAGAAAATAGTAACTGTTTGAAATTATTTCCTTAATCTAAAAGCATTACCAAGAAACATTGCTCTGTAGCCTATTAGGATTATAAACTGTTCAAAATTTTGATTTACAAATGAAGAAGAGTTTTGTTCTGAATTTATGTTCTCTAAGGTATCATTACTAGTGATAACTTTTTAGAGGCAAGGCTTAAATTAGCAGTTAATTTTTATAATTCTATTTTGATTGAAGAATGAATATTTGAACACTGGGGAGACGGCAGTCTAACATTAGAATATGTATTTATTAGAATATGTTACACACAGAGTAACAATATATGAAGCCAGAAGCTCAATATGTTTATAGTCTCATATATAGATTTGTGAGAACAAAAGCAGATTCTTGGTTATCTTCAATGAGTGGAGAAAGATGAACATAAATTCAGACAACTACAGATAATCTCCCTCAAATCATTTTTATTAATTTTCAACTCTGTGTCCATTTTAGTTAAGCTGAAATAGTGCCTTGAGTTTTATCTCTTTTATTCACCACACCCTCACCCTTAAGTGAGGGGCTAACTTAGCAAAACAGCACACAAGAGGATGGTATTGAGATGTAAATGTCACAAATAACATAACAGATAATAATCAAAGTCTTAAGCCATCAAAGTTGGGGTATACTTAAAAAGTATGAAAACTTGGGCCCTCCCTGGTGGTGCAGTGGGTTAAAACATAGCACTAAGAAGCTGAAGCCACTTCCACATCATTTTGATCCCCGCCTGCCCCGGAGGAGATCCACATGGCGTGGCAGACCTCTCCTGACCCACCCGCTGCTCCTGTCAGCAGTATACTTGGTCAGTTGGCCTGTTCTGCTCCCCATTCTGTCTCTGGTGAATCTTCTCACTGCCCCTGCAACTCTGGCCTGTATCCCAGTTCTGTATATATAAATAAATAAATCCTTAAAAAAAAAAAGGTATGAAAACTCTTATTATAGAATCAGACTTAACAGCTTCAAGTACTTCAACGTAGCATTCCCCCCTCATTGTCCCACCACCCCTCATGAGGAATGAAATTGACAAAACTTTAGGGGCTAAAAAGGGGGAATAGGAAAAAGAGTAATCAAGGAGTTCTGATCAATGCTGATACCAAACAGATTTGGTATAATTCTATATATAACCTTTCAGTCACTTATCCTAAATTTGTAGCAATTTGAGGAAATAACTAGAGCAGGAAGTACTCTATTTTGTTCTCTCAGCTCCATTCACAGGATTTTGGAACTGCTAAGTAAGGTTTCTAAAATAAAATGTATAAACTATGTGTCAATACCATTAAAAAAAAAAACCTGCATTTAAGGAAGACACTATTAATTCTGTCAATCAGGTGGAAAAGTTTGGAAAGGCTTTGAACTATGCTGAAGCAGCCCTGTCATTTATTGAGTGTGGAAATGCAATGGAACAAGGCCCAATGGAATCCAAATCTCCTTATACCATGTATTCAGAAACAGTAGAGCTCATCAGGTAAGCTCTGTGTTTTATTATTGGGGTAGGAAAAAACGGTGAGGAATGCATGAAAGTACTATGAATACAGAGAAAAAACATTAACCTTGCCACTATCAGCTATCAAGCACCAATATCTGTGCCCCAAAATAACATAAAATACTGCAAGTCACTTCACACCCCTTGCCTCCATTGTTTTCTTTGTGAATGAGGGAGGACAACTCCTGCAACTCCTGATGGCTGCAGGAAGGAAGCTAAATCTGAGTGAAACACAACTTACCTACTTCACCCAGCTAAAAAGCAGTTTAGACTTATTTCACCTCTCAGCTACATATTTAAAAGTCTGGCTCACAACTAGTGTTTACCAGAAGGGAAAAGGCCATAAATGGAGAGTAAGCTAATCAGGTATTAGGGATGGGTCAGTTGTATAGTGAATAATAGAATTGGACTTTAGTGAACTTAATGTAGTAGATAATCACACTGACTTTTAATGATGCAATCCTGAAACTTATATAAGGCAACATTCAATTAAATATATAAATGCATGAACAAATGGGTGAGGGGACTAGATCTGGTTTGGGTTAGTATAAGCTAAATCCCAACTTCATCAGTACATTATTCAGGACTTAATGAAAGGAACAGAGATGGGGTACAGGTGTTATGGGAAGAACTCCATCATATGATATACTAGCTCTGAGAGTGCCAGTGTTTTTCTGGTCTAATTTCTCCATGTGCATAATCACCAAGCATGTGATGTGAGCAGAAGTGGTTTCTGACAGGGACACATCAAGAAGGTGGAAGGAGTTGGGGTGGGAGACTGGAAAAACATCTGAATGTCTAATGAACCACTAAGAGAATTCTTTTCTTTTCTTTTTTTTTCAGTTGACATCAATTCTAATTTTGGGTTTTTCTTAATATCAACTTTTTGTTCATAAACAAAAAGCTTTTCTAGATGTAGGCTGACATTTTTATTTATAATTGTTACAATACCTTATATAAATATACCTAAAACACATTTGTCCTTGTAGCATTTTTAGATGTCTTATTATTTGCTTGTTTTTTTTTTTTTTAAGAGAATTCTTTTAACCCTCTAAAGAACCTTTGCTGCTGCATTATGTTGAAAGTTAATTCAACTGCTTGGGATAATGTCTATATCCATTATGTGAAATAACTCTTCCCAAGGCTAACTTTAAGAAACTTTTCTGATGCTAGGATTCTTTGCCATCTAAGTAAGATCAGGTAGTATTTATCATGCCCTACTTTTCCAGATGGAAGATTTCTAAACATCATAGGTTATAACCTTTTTGTTCTGTTTTGGCCCAAAGATGCAATTTGATATTTAACATCATTCTCCTTCAGTAAATAGTTCTTTTCCTTTGAAACTGTCATCCTAGCATCACAGAACACATCATCTTCAAAAGCACTTCTCAAGAGTGTTTTGAAAGTCAACACTGCCCAGAAATAGAAGTTATTAAAAAAAAAAGATCAAGTGAAAAGTATGGAACTAAAAATATGATAACAAAATAAAAATTTCACTGGGTGGCTTGATAATAGATGGAGATGGCAGAGGGTAAATTGGCTGACAGAATATAGAATTGACCCAGTCTGAGCAACAGAGAGAAAACAAAGGAAAAATGTCAAGCACAATGACTAAAAAGCCAACAGACCTGTCATTGGAGTCCCAAACAGAAAGGGAGTGGAGAAAGAGCTTTGAAGAAATAATGACTGAAAGGGGACAATTCTGAGAAAAGACATACACATACAAGTTCAAGAAACTAAAAAAAAAAACCAAATCTGATAAAAACCAAAGCAATATATACCACAACACACCGTAACTATATTTATGAAAACTAAAGACAAATCCAGAAAGCTATCAGAAAGAATGACTCACTACCTAGAGGGTACACTGATCCAGGTGTGAAAACGTTTCACCTGGAAGCCAGAGGAAGTGGCAGGACATTTTTAAGTGCTAAAAGAAAAAAAACTGTCAAACTGTGAGTTCTAGATTCAGTGAGGCTTCATTCTTCAGGAATGAAAGGAAAATTAAAATATTCTCAGGCAATGAAAAACTTAAGTTTTTATTTCTAATTGACTCACCCTTAAAGACTAGCTAACAGCAGTCACTCAAATAAGAAGGAAGAACAATACTTGTATTGTTCTTCCTTCTTATTTGAGTGACTGCTGTTATGTGCAATAAACTAGCCTCCTCTTGAATTTTATAAACTATACTGATGATTAAAACAACAACTATCAAACACTCAAGACAATGTTACTTGTAAGTGGGGAAAATGAAGGAGCCTAAATGTAAATAAGGTTTCCATACTTGACTCAAGTGCTGCAGTATTGACACCAGTAAATTGAGATAATTCACAAATGTATATTGTATACCCAATACGACCATTATTAAAACAAGCAAAGATGATACATTCAAAATCACTAAAAGAATTTGATTTGCTGTAGAGAGACCTAGTCCTCTTCCCAGATCAGTGCTTAACACTAAGAAGGCCATGCTCGTTGCCAGCAGGAAGATCCCTCCTGAAGCCCTGTGGCTGATGCCCAATGGTGAGAAGCCAGACAAGCTCAAGCCCAGCATCTCTCAGGCTCTCCCCGAAGAGGGGATGCACTCAGACCTCAATGCCCTGATGCAGAAGCTGAACATAACAACAGCCAAGTAAACAGAAGTTGGGAAGTATATACTCTTCATACCAGTCCCTCAGCTGAAGTCATTCCAGAGAACCATAGACTAGAGTGTTAACTGGAAAGTTACCAGCAGTATAGCAGTATATAGTCTTTGTTGCTCAGGGGAGAATTTTGCCTGAACCAACTTAGAAAAACCGTATGAAAAATAAGGAAAATATAGCCAGGAGCCATATTCTGAGAACTGTGCAAGATGAGCTCCTGGAGGATTTTGTCTTCCCAAGTGAAATTGTGTACCAGAGACCCACATGAAGCTGGAAGACTGCTGGCTAATAAATGTGCATTTGGATACAACACACCAGAGGAATGTGAGTTGCAAGGTTGAATTGTTTGAGGTGTGTGAAGCTCATGAACAGGATGTTAATTTCAAATTCCCAAAGCTTCAACTGTAAACAAATGACTAAATAAAATATAATTTACAAAAAACACTACAAATTCTGGTGTTCTAGACAGATAAATAACAGTTTCATTTCTTGAGCAATTTTCAACCCACCCATGCCAGCCAACCCACCATGCCGGAAGCTTCACAAATACTGTCTCATTTAATCTTTAGAGCAGGACTATGTGATAGCAGTATAAATCTTATTTTATAGTTAAGGAAATACAAGCTTAAAGTCCTTAATACAATTGTCTGCGCTCTCACAGCTATGTGGCTAAGCTGGAATTTGAACACAGGACCCCTGGACCATTATATATATATATATATATATATATAAGAGCTCTAGTTCTCTCAAAGTGTCTGCAAGAAACTTGTTATATTATTGGGAAAAAGGAATGGCCACATTCTTCCTTGGTCAGAGAAGTAAGTGCATGAAAGCCTCTATCTCCCCAAGACACTGCTGTCAAAGTAAAAGTTCCTTAGCAATGAAAAGGATATAAGTCCAGGCATTTCATCTGACTGACCTCTCTTCTGGAGATATGTCTAAAATTTTTGAATTTTGCCTCCTTCTTGTCAGCCGCACAGTCGTAGTCAAAATTTGCAAAAATAGATGTATCACCATAAACATGGGTAACTTTTAACTGTTATCACTCTCAACAATCTGTAGCATTTAAATTTTTACTGTTAAAGGGCAGAAATTAGAAATTAGAAAGCCATCACAGTAAAGTACTGCATAGGGAAAATGGGGCAGCATCAATTAGCTGTCAAGAAAGAATTATCAGCAAGTGCTACGAGAACTAAGTACTGGGCAGAGAGAACTTCCATCACAGAAAATGTTCTGTTGTTAATAAGTCTTTCTTGTTCATTCTTTTATTTGGATTTTTTTTTTCTTTCTTGCTCTAGATATGCAATGAGACTAAAGACCCACTCAGGCCCCAATGCTACACCAGAGGATAAACAACTGGCTGCATTATGGTAAGTACATCATATCAGCTTAAAATGCTCTCCCAGCCTTGTATATCATCATTGACATCCAGGTATGAAATACATAACATATTCCTAGAGCCTTCTAGCAAGCATAACCAAATGCAATTCTAATGGTGGTCAGGGAGAGCGAACACCCATTTTTGCTGCTTTATCACACATGATGTAACTTCACAATGATTGAAAATTAACAGTACATTACTTAAGGATATTTTCTGTGTGTATGTTTAAACCAGATAGGCTGTATTTTAATAAATGGAATATGAATTATGCCAAATGCAATTTATCTTGGGTTTAACATTTTAGATGCAATCAAAATAATTTATCTTTTTACATGTGGGGTTAGTATGACTGAATCAAATAACCATATTAAAGTTCTCAACATGTTAAACTGGAGAACAGTTCATTACACTTTGATAATAAAAGCATTTCTTTTAAAATGTTAACCAACATGTAATAAGCCACTGCCCTGCCACCCTTCAGAAACACAGGATATGTCTTTCTTGGTCCCTGCTGTCATAGGGATGCTTTTAAAAGAAAAATATATGTGTTTATATATTTAAATAATAAGAGCAAAATACACAGAAGAGAGGATCTCAGTTTCTTATGATCACATCACCTGGAGTCTGCTATGCCAAGAGACTTCTAAGTTGCATTCAGTTTGCTGGTATTCCAGTCTGTCAACCAGATCTAGTCAGCAAAGTAATTATAATCTGAGTGAAACATCCAGAAAAAAATTTTCTAAGGCCGTCTTTCCCATGCTTTTTTTAAATTTCAAGTTCCACATTGGGATTAACAAGTTAACAATGATTAGTAATTAATTATACATAAGACAGAAAACCAGTATGTAAATAATAAATATATAAAAGAGTGTAAGACATTCCTATCTGGTACTTATTTGAACTAATTCTAGTCCAGTAAAGTAGTTTAAAATGAAAGAAATAAAGGCAGAGCGAAGGGCTTTTCTTTCAGCAAAGCCAAAGTCCAGGGTGTCAGAAATCAATATAAAGTGACTCCCCTGAAACTCATCCACCAAGCAGTGAAAACTCCTGGCTAGTTTCCTCACTCCTGTCATGGAAGGAGACTGTCCTCTAGTGGAGGAGGAAAAAATAACCATTCCCTCAGCCTCAACAAAGAAGCAATAAAACTAATATAAAATCATCTCCTGGTAAACATATTTATGGAATAAGTCCTTAGCATTTGAATACCATTTTATAGACAAAAGGAAAGACAGCCATTTATAGGTATGTGTATGTGTGTAGTAACAAATGCATAGGTGTGGAAATACATGTGTGTATGTGTGTGCATACTAATAACCACATATTGAGTGCCTATGGACCATGAGATTTTTTGTTGAGTCTTTTGGGCAAAGAGCACGAACTCTTCTGGGCCCACTTTTTCTTTTTCGCATATAGTTACAGGTGCCTGGCTCTGCTATACTGGCGGATGTTTCGACTCAAAAGGGACCATGCTGTGAAGTATTCAAAAGCACTTATCGACTATTTCAAGGTATTGTCTAGCTAATGGACAACATTGTTCCTTGTATTCAGTCACCCCTGTCAAAGATATTTTGAGGAGCCTGGTAGAAGTCACTGCTTTGAAGATAAACAAGAGCCCTGTGATATCCACACTCATCCCATTTATGGCATTCAGGCTCAGAGAATGTGTTTTGAAAGCCCATCTAATTTATCCCCCTGCTTCAGGTCCAGGTATTTTTATGGCCTCAAGAGAATGAAGATCCAGTTACCCACTTCAGTGTCTGCAGAAATTCATCTTTATAGCTAACATAAATTCCTCATACTCACTTAGAGCTTCTTACTCTTAGAACTAACTACTTAGAACTTCCTCTGAACTATCTCCAATAGCTAATTTAATTTTTAATGAAAGTACTATTTTAAATGATAAGAAATAGCTTATTGGAACCTGGGAGCCCAGGCAAAATAACAATATGTAACTATGAGGATGGATTGAAACGATGCTAATGTTTACGTGTATCAGGAAATGAATAATTTTCTCTGGAAAACTTTAAAAAAAAAAAAGGAAAGCATTTGCTATACTGTTGTGAAGTAGATCTGAAGTAATAATTCAGCTGAGATTTTTGAGAGTGTTCATTGTCTATAGAAAATAAGAAATTACACCCTTTCTGCCTCCACCAACCCTTCATTAAGAGCCACAGGCATCACTTTAGATCCAGTTCCCAGGCTTCTGGGGATTATTTCTGAGAACCAGGCTTTACTGGGGGAGAGGGGGGTATGTCCAGCCTGTGCCTCTTTCCCAGTGGTGCACGTGGTGTGAACCATGTTGTGCCACGGAGCTAACTGTCTGGGCCCACAGACCATCATGTGTCATAATGTTACAAGAACCAACATTAAGCCTTTCCCCTTTACTTTGGAAGCTAAGATTAGTTGTTTTCAAAAATTTAGAAACTAAGAGTTAATACTAAATAGGGCTAATACATTCAAGAACATGCTTGAACACAGTCAGTAGTTGTAAGTCAAGAGGTTACAACAGAACTTTCAAGATATCCAGGGAGTTCTTAATGTACATGTAGAGTCCGAACATATTCAGAATGGGTAGAGAACACCACTTAATAATCAGAATTTCCTCTCCTTGTTATGGTAATTACCTTTGATTAAAGGCTCTTTAATGCTAATGTTCAGCCATTATTAGACTTTCAGGTTGCAATGACAGTTTGTCCATAAAGAATGTGTTTTATCAATACAGAATTGTCTGCAAAAATAGGGCTTAGTTCCCACCCGTGTTTTTCACAGTGTAGGAATCAAGGGCCTGAGTAGCAGCAGACCTGAGAACAATTGTAAAATGGTCACAAGTAAGGTCATTTTGATAACACCTCCACCAAAAACTAAAAATCAGTTATTACTTTATAAAGTTCTTTTTTACCAAAGGAAAAACTCTGGGTAACCAGGTTGGAGCTGTTTTCTCGTCTCTAAAATGGAAAATTCACATCAACATCATAAAGACCATTTTTTTCCATAACAGTCCTAAGATTTATATCCAAGAAAGCATTACTGGGCTCTCTGATTGGAAATGTAAGTGCACATTTAGCAATTTTCCTTGCCAAAGGCAAAACTTCTCTTAATGCAAATTGTCAGAATATTCAAATAAAGCAGAAATTTTGAATATCCTATCTTTTCAGAAAATCTATTTTAATCTATTCCTTTAGAAGTATTCAAGAGCAACTTCCTTTATGAGAAATACTTTTAAGCTTCATAAGTTAAAACAAGAGAGTTTTATATCTCACTTATTTTCTGACATTAAATATGGGTCAATAGTTTCTACAAATGTGCCCTATATTTAAACATAAGATGTTCTCAATGTATTAGGGCAAGGGCTTGGGGAAGAGAGGAAGTTTCCTGCTCTTTTTTCCTTTTCAAAAAAAATTAGGTTAATTTAGGATGAAAAATCATGTTCATTTAAGATTTTACATTCAGGATTATGATTTAATTTGGCACAAAGGATTTGGGACATGATAGCCTAGGTTCTTCATTTTAGCTTGCTGGTGGCGCCCAGTACGCCATCAGCCGCCCCCCATAAGTTTCCAGTGAGGAAGCCTCTAACCTAGTCATTGAAACTTTCCAGACCTAGTTACTGTGAACCTGCATTTTTTCTTGTTTCTTTTATTGAGGTAACAAAGCTTTTCAACACTGTATATGATGCAGAGATATAAGTTCAGATGTGTGTTACCACACCACACTCACCACCAAGGCACCTGAAGTCCTCTCCACACTGCTCTTTATGCCCTTTTCCCACTCTGGTAGCCACAGTTTTATTAGTAATCTAGAATTTTACTGTTAGTTTGGTTTTGTTTGACCCTTTGTGTTATTTCTCTATATTCCACATGTCAGTGAAACTATCCGGTTTTTGTCTTTCTTATTCTGACTTATCTCCATTAGCATTATTCTCCCCACCTTGCACAATTCCACCCACATTGTCACAAATGGCAGGAGTATCATCTTTTTTATAGCTGAGTAGTACTCCATGTAGGCTATAGACAACATCTTCCCTATTTATTCATCTGCGTGTGGACATTTGATAGCAATATCATTTCTCTCTCAGAGGTCAACTGAGAGCACTGTTAGCTGTTCAACTTAAGGAGACAGTACTCACTGCCAATATTTTTATTTTCCTGCAGAATTCATCTAAAGCTGCCCAAGCCCCATCTCCATGGGGCGCCAGTGGAAAGTAAGTTCATTTTTCTATATGAAAAGCAATAAATGAGATTCTATATGGAGCATTGTGCTCCATTGCTTCCAGTGCCCTGAGTGGCTGCCCTATCTCATCTGATACCAAAACCTCTTGCTGTTCTACCCTCCATTTCCAGGAGCACCGGGACCCCATCCCCCATGTCTCCCAACCCCTCCCCCACCAGCTCAGTGGGCTCTCAGGGGAGCCTCTCCAATGCCAATGCTCTGTCTCCTTCAACCATCGTCAGCATCCCACAGCGCATCCACCAGATGGCTGCCAATCATGTCAGCATCACCAACAGCATCCTCCACAGTTATGACTACTGGGAGATGGCAGACAACCTGGCCAAGGAGAACAGAGGTTTGTGTGTCTGTAGGGATATGTGAGTGGTTCACCTGTGCTGTGGGGAAATAACCTGACCCAGGGGCCTCACAGAGCCAGATTCCATCATTCATTGAAAGAGAAATAATAGCCATCACCTACTATGTGGAACTTTTTCTGACTTCTCCCTCTCACTCATGTCTTTACCTACCTGTATCTTTACTGCAGAAGATTCAAAACAGAGATAGAGCCAGAGATAATATAGATATGTGTTGCAGGTATAAGCATATAGATCTTTCCCTGTATACATTGAGCTCCTTGTAGGGGGGGATTAGATTTTATTCAACTTTATATTCCTAAGACCGGCATAGTGCCTAGGATACAGTTAGGGATTTGAAACACAGAATTAATGAAATAGCTAATATATTATGAGCTACTTGTTAGTGGTTTACAGTGAAAGCAGTATTTCTACATAGCAATGTTATATTTTACTTAATGTTTGCTTTTATTGATTATAAAAGGAATGCTTATTTCTTGTCTGAATTTGTAAAACAAATGAGAAAAATAATATTAGATCACCAGTAATCTGATCATCAAGAAGTAACTACTGTTTACATTTTACTGGTTTCTTCTAATCTTTTTTCTCTAAACAATGAATGGTTAGTACCAAAACAAGATGTATTATATACATTTCTCTATCATGTTTTTTGATGTGTTACATATATTATTTTTCACTTAACATTATGTTAGGTATTTCCTCATGTCAAACTGGTTCAAAAACACCTTTTATGACAGTTATATAATACTACCCTAAATGTGGTTATGCAATCATAAAGTATCATCATTTTTCAAACCATTGCCCTATTGTTGGATATTTAGCTTATTTCTGGTATTTTTCTATTACAAATAATGTATGGATAAATATCCTATGTAAATCATTGTCCGTTTTTCTGACAAAGTTCTTAAGAGGAAGTTGTGGAAGTAGAATTTCGGAGTCAATGGGTATAAATTCTTATAGGACATATATTATTATATATCCCAATATAGCTAACTTTTCTTCCAAAAGATGATACAAATCTACTGTTCTCCCTCCAGCGAGGAATGAGAGTATAAATCTAAGCTCAATTTCAGGCCATTGAATGCAATGTTTTCTTATTTTATCTACCTTCTTTTCAGTATTGAAGTGACATGCTTTACAACACTAGTCTATGACTTAGGAGAACAGGTTCACACCTCCTCAGATGTATATACCATCTGAGCACATATAGTCCTTCACCATAGTCATAGATCACATTCAATGCAGATTTTGTTCCCATGACATCCTAAGCCTCCAAGTACAAGTCTAGGATGGGTGTCCATAATGCCAATGATAATAAAAGCAGATAATCTATAATATACAGTTACAGCAATTCAGTGGGAAGGAGGAAATATCTGAGGACTGAGACCACCAGGAGGCACTCACTAGAGAAACTGACATGGAACAGAGACTTGAAAAAATGAAATAGATGTCACAGGTGGACACAACAGAAGGGACAAATATATAAAACTTTATATAGTCAGTTTGGGAGACCCTGAGCAGGCCAGGCTGCAGATGGCACTGCCAGCTGCCCACTGTCATCCACCAGAGGGCTCAGTGCCACACATTCATGCAAACTTGGCATTGTGTCCCTTGACCTGCTCCTCTCCCGTTCTGCTCCTGGATCCCTGCCACAGCTATCCTCCCAACCACCTGGAACTTGGATCTTCTCTAACCAGCACCCCCCCCCACCTCCTCAGCAGGTGTTTCTTCAGCATATGCATGAGCTTTGAAAACACTTCTCCCAGATATTTGACTTCAAGGCATGTTCAGAGATCCAGTGATGACAGCATAGTCACCATATGAATTTGTTTTTTTCTATTCACATTAAACTTGATCTTTGAAAGAGCAGAATCTAGATAATTTTCCATCTTGGTAAATACTCCTACCTTTACCCTTCTACACCTAGTGTTGGTGCGGGTGGTCTTGGAATCCAATCATTATTTATTGAGAGGCCAAACCTAGAGACTACCCAAGGACTAAAAGAGATATTTCACAGTACATCTCTGATTTGCACCCTGGAGCCTGGAGCCTCCTCCTTTTGATTCACTGCAGAGGTTCACACATCCCACAGCTGAGTGCAAAAGAAATCAAACAGGGCCCAGACTGGGGCTGGGAAGCACTTCTGCATAAGGCCAGTTTGGTCTGAGAAAGTAGATTTCCTTTGCTATTTAACTAAGTAAATGTTATTCAGTTGAATGAGAAACATAAAATAGAGTGATTATGTTGATGTAAAATGAGTTCCCTATTTGATTTTGTTCACTTAATGCTAAAGTCACAAATGTAGATTACCATAAGGGATCTTTTCCCTCAAGTCACTCAGATGTTTCAAGATAGCACTCTTAGTAGGTATGGCACCTAACAGCTCTCTCCATTTCCTAGAATTCTTCAATGACCTGGATCTGCTTATGGGCCCTGTGACCCTGCACAGCAGCATGGAGCACCTGGTCCAGTACTCCCAACAGGGCCTGCACTGGCTACGTAACAGCACCCACTTGTCATAGGGACCTTACTCCTGAGTGGGGTTGTGCTCTCGTCTCCACGGATGGCTCAATATTTCTGGACACTGTGCTACTGAAATTTCCAGCCACAGCATTTATCAAACTGCAGTGAACATTTTATCAGCATCAAACAGTGGTCTTTTCCAGGGCATGTGTGTGTGTGTGTGGGTGGGTGGGTGTCAAAGAAGCCATCTGTGTATGTGTGTAAGATACATAGTTCTTTAGAACATACTTTCTTTGTCTAGTTTCCACACTCCCAGGCTAGACAAACTGATCAGAAGTTTCTGATTAGAGAAGATACATGTACACACATACACAAACACACATACACACACACTTTCTATTTTAAAGCTAAACCATAATTTCTGAAAACCTTCAACCAAAATCTTAAGGGTTGGTTAACCAGGTACAGTGCAGTACACCAAAAGCTTGACTGCCAGTTAAGAAGAACCTAGTTCTTATTATATTGATTACTTTCAGTATTACTGTTCTATTTCCCAATTTTTTTTTATTGTACGTATTGATTGGTAATTGAATAATGAAAGTTATTTTTGTGCGAAAATTTACTAGGTTGCATGTTACCAAGTACCCTGTCATTCCTCTTATCACCCACTCCATTCAACTTGATTATCAACTAAACAAGCTTAGAAGCAGAGGAATCAGCTCCCACAGGTCTGCCCTGCTCTACCCCAAATCAATTTGAAAATGGCACTGAGGTTTGGTTAAAAAAAAAAAAACAGTGTCTGAAAGTTGAGCAATAGTAAAGCAACAATAACTATGTTTTGTAGCTCAGTTGGAAATTTGAATCTTCTACCCATGTAACAACATGCCCACCCAGCCCGTTTCTTCTTTCTGCCACTGTGACATGGCAGCTGTCAAATCATGTGGCATTTGTTGGCCCATGTTTTTCATGTCTTTTCGTCCACCATAGCTTTCCTAAAAAGTTTTCTGGACCAAATTAGGACATTTCCTAGAATGTCCTGTCATAGGAGTCTATGTGTTGCTGATCAGGTTGAGACTGATTTGCTACCAAATTGCTGTCTAATCCTCTTAATCTTTGTGCAGAATGTGCCACTGCAGGCCTTTAATGCATGTTGGTCTGGGGGATGTGCTTCATGCTTTGTTAACAAGCTGCTCACTGTGCAGGTAAGTCATTCCTGCCGTGATCACAGTTCTGTTTGGGGTAGCGATGACCAGAGCATCACGCTTCCACCCCATGCTTCCGGTATGGTTACATTTTGCCCCTTGCCCTGAAGTCTTTTTTTTGTTTGTTTGTTTTTTGTTTTTTGTTTTAACACTTAAGTTTACATTTTAGTTTTTAGATATCTTGTTTACAATTTCTGTCTGAAATATATTTCTTTTGTAGTCTCTTGTCATGCCCTAGATTTAGCCTTCTTATTAGACATGTTTGGATATAAAGATACTGGTAAAAAGAAAAACAACTCCAGAAAAAGGAAAATTGACCTGGCCACACTTTATGAGCAAAAATAATGTCCTGGAGGCCTCTTGCTTGACAAAATTGCACTAGGAAAGTCTGAGAAAGACACACCTGTCTGATGTGGTATGTAGAATAATCCATTTTCAAGGTTATTGGTGGCACAAACATTTAAAATCAGTCCTCTGATACTTGCTTTCGCTGGTGGTCTCAGCGGTCAGGTTGCAATGTGAACATTTTTGTCAGTCTGATCGGTAGGTGAGAAGTAAGATGGCTATAGTTTCCTCGTTCTTGGCACCGATTCAAAACTGTGCAAGTGGTCAAAACAACTTTGATGATTGAAATTAATTAAAAATGAGCAAGCAAAGAGTTTGTGAAATTTCTATTTGGTATTGGACTTTAAGCATCTGGAAATATGAACAGTATTTCAATGTTATCTTTACCCAAATGAGGTACTCTCTGCATCCCTTTCACCAATTTTTGGCAGCACTCATGATCCCACCCTATGTGGGAAATTTGTGTCTAACTTAAGAAACTTGAATTCTCTTTTTGGAGAACTGAGGCTTAGTTCTACTTCTTCTTGATACATTTTGAGGAAACGTTCAAACTCTTACATAAAAGAATGACTGTCAGGGTCCATCATGCTTCCCAAAGTGCTCTTCTGCTCTTGCCCACCTTTCAAGTTGCAGACTTTGGGGCAATCTCCATGTGATGTGCTAACCCACCTAGCACACGGTGGCCTCTGGCTACAGATTTTACCAGCAATAGGGTCACCCATATTTTCCAGCAAAACTTGAAATTTGATATTGGAGAGATGGTCAGAGTGTATTACTTCACTCACTGTGTCCCCTTTCATCAGTAGAACTTGTGGGAACAGCAGTTTTAGCCTGTTTTGGATTAGATGGTTTTGGTAAGGATCCATCCTCTGATTGCTGCCTGTGAGAATCATTTATAACTCGTTCCTTTTATTTTGTAGTATCAAAGTAGAAATGCCTTTCTTGTATTTTCTGATTATAAAGCACTTGATCATTGTGAAAATTCAAGCAATATAAAAATCTGGAAAATATAAAGTTCTATCCACTGGTGACAACCACTACTCACAGTTTATATATGTCCTTCTGGAACTCCCCTAGTTAAACATAAAAGGTCAATTATCATTTCTGTTTGAAGACATATTAACTCTTTATTAGTTCAACTGACTTTATCCTTCTATAACCTGAATAGAAGTCACCCTTTATTAAAATGTGAGAGTAATTTTTGAAAGAGAGTAACCCAAATGCATTCCTAATAAAAAATTGGGATTTGTTACAACTTAAAACAAATAAGACTTGCATGCAGAATTGTGCCTAGAAAGAGAGGTTTGGTTAAAGAAGAAATTTCTGGAAATTCAAATTTCAAATGGAAACTTGGATTGACTATCTGAAGAGGAAAATACTGGAAGAATATTCTGAAGAGTTGACAAATTATGTACTAGACTGAACACGTGGAATGCAATGAAATGAGACTTTCTGCACTGAAACTTATCCTAGTATGTACAACAATGATGTGTGTATTATAGAACAGTGATGTGTACATTTCTACATCCCACACATAATATGCACAGTTTGTATAAATGCATACATTTAAAAATATATATGTACAATACCACTAACATAAAACTGTAGTATGCCTGAAGGATATTACTAGTGCCTAATATTGAGTATAAGTCACTGCGTGTTCACATCACCTTGGAAGTGCAGTAATTGTTATAAAACTAATCAGTGCAGCCAACATTATTTATGAATCACATCTTTGAAACTGTGCAGTAGTATATACATATATATTTTTAAATAACATTTTTCACAGTTTTCCAGAGTTACTGTTGAAATCTGTATCGCCAAAAAAAAAAAAGCAAGATTTTTTTAATGATGTAGACACTCTTCAGACCCAGTAATCTGTGCGTGATTTCCTGTTTGTAGATACCCAAGAGACTTTAGCAGTCACCAGCCTTAATGCATGTACAGGATATTATTGTGACTTAATTTATCTGCAGTTTTTAATCCATGTGAAATTGGAATTTATAAACTGACTTGGATTAAATATGTCTGCCTTTCTAAGGTTGCAAATGTTACATTAAATGATTTATGTTGTAAATGAGAGAAATCGAGTTGTACGTTAAAGATGTCCACCATTTCTGTGAATATTTTTACAAGGAAATTTCAGAATCAAAATAAGTATTTTGATTTCAGAACCAAATAAGTATTCTGGCTCCCAGATCAGAAACTCTTTAGAAGCATCCTTATTGTTTCATGAATTTTTTAAAAGTAACTTCCATAAATTATCATCACTAGGTTTAATATTTTTCATGGGGAAAGGGATTTTTTTCATTGTAACTAGTTTCTAACTTTTCTTTCCCATTCGCCAGCACATATATAAACATGTGCATTCTTGAAAACACACCCAATATCCAGAAAATGCTGAGTCCATGAGGAGTTCATGCTGACGACTCCTCTGGTACCAAAGCCCTAGGACCCATTTATTCAGGATCCCTAAAAACACAAGTTACTTTTCTGACTTGTGTGTGCCTGACTTTTCCAACTCAAATCAACATAGTGGAATAGCATTTAAAATATTTGGTTGACTAAAATAAAAGAATTTTGAACTGAAGAAAATAGAAATATTAGACCAATTGCTTGCCAAGACAGTTGGCCCCTATATGGGAGGGTTTTTTGTTAACTTCATTTTTATTCTTCTCTCCCTCCCTTTTCACTAACTCCTCCCCAAACTAAACCAAACAAAGCAGAAACGGTAAACACAAAATTGTCACTTCACCTTACCCAGCCCATAAGCTTATATTCAACTACGCCTTGACACAGGGCAGACCTGGCTCAGTCACCATGGAGACCATCTCACCCAGAGATGACCAGGATGGGGACTTGGCTTGTTTGCTCCATGGGCCACTGAACTTGACTCTCTTTCAGAGTGATTTGGATGAAGAAACTCCCTGTTGTCTTGCTTGTATGTAACATTTCCTGCTACTTAGTTAAATCTGTTCCTATCAAAACCATATTTTTAAGAAGTACCACATTTTTAATGAAACTTGAATCAACTTGGATCTAAAAAAAAATTGCCCCATGTAAGAAAAGCACCCAGCAACAAACTGCATTTCCAACAATATGAAGTCAGAATTTCCTGGCTTTACCATTCCCGGAAAACTTTTTGGTTACAACTTACTGAAAAATAACACAAGAAGTGTTCAGACATGAAATTTGTGTTCTATTTTGTCCAAACTGAATTATTCTCTATCATCAGAGGATCAACTTGTTTGCCTGGCACAAGGAAAATGATAAAACTCTGTTCTCAGACTAATTACATCTGACCACAGATTTTGGTCCTTATTATTTAATTGGCACCCAGAGATAGCAGGGGATAAATTTTGGATTTGCTGCAAAGGGATTTAGAGTCACAGTTTTTACAGTAATGAGTATCAGGGGACTAAATCCCTATGCATTACTTTGTAAATCTACCTCTTATAGCCAATTTTAAACACATTGATCTGAGGAATGATTTCAAGGTACTAATTGCAAGTCAACACAAGGATCAACATTTGTTCTTCACATTTCAGAAAGTAATGATGAGGCCTGAAAAGCTGAATCAAGAATTTTGTTTTTTACTCCTTTTTAACATGGGAAAAGTCCTCCTAATATATTTATCTTCAAATGTGATGTAATGGCACATCTGTGTTTAGGATTTTGCTAGCAATGCTATTTGGCTATAAAGATAATTACAATATTCTAGTTTTCATATTGTTCTTCAACTCTATTTCAGTTTTTCATAAAACAAAACTCATTTTTCCCAGTACTTATGATCTCTTTATTTCTAGATGTTCAAGAGCAAAAAAGAAAATATTTAAACATTGAAGAAAAGAATGTGCATTACTTGACTAACACATGTTCTACCCACAGTCTCCAAAGGTATCTGACTTTCTAAGAAACATTCTTGGCTTGTCCTCTATTAACTTTCACCCTATAGCATGTGTGACCATGAAGTATGGCTGTTAATTTTGAAATACCAATAATTCCAAGTATGTAACACATTAATCTTTAGTGATAGATATTTTTGTAGCCTCACCAGATGACTCTGATGCCTAGCTGTGTGATAAAATAGCAAAACTTGCCTTTGAGTAATTTCCAAACAGATGAATAATCCCCTGACATTCCAAGAGATGTCAAGACAACCCAAATTTTGTCCTCCGTGATCTGGATTGATTTCTGTTGTTGCTCATTGGGGTTCTTGCCTTCTAAATTCTGTAAGTCTGATTTAATATCTTGACTTTTTA